ACAGCGAATCATAATGGTCAAAACCCCTAAGGCTACCTCCCTGACACACCTACACTGACAATTTTCAGTGTCGTGATTCTTATTTGTTTAATTGAGATTTTTTTTCTTCTAAAATGAGTGATGTCAAATACTCATATATCCTCTTTCCCCTCATAGTCCTGCCCACTATCAGGTATCAGTTATCATTCTAGGCTATAAGTCTTTATTATACTCTGTGAGCCCATTGTAGTTATATTTTGCACAAAATTCGCATGTAACTAACAATTTCCTGATTTATTACTGTATCTGTTGAGAACCGCTTCTTCCCTAGGTCTACAGAAACAGAAAATTAGTCCCACAAATAGCAAGTATCATACTTTTTTAGGTATATATAATTAATGTGTCCATCTCCAATTTTTGCTTCTTTACATAGAAAACATTTACCAAAGACCGAAGGATTACGTCAATAATATATTATACGACCATATTCGGGATCACGACAATAGGCAATACCTACACCGTGGGTGGGGTGCATATTCTAGATAACTCAAACCTTGCACCTTGCTCCAGGGCGGCCCACATGTGAAAAGGGGCTGTCTTTTCGACTATTGACATGCTCACAATTTCCGTTAAAATCAATTTGCTAAATAAATACCACAGATAAAATTTGATTCATAATTCAATTCAACATAAGAGGAAATTATAGTCATCAAAACCTAACTATTATCGAAACTTTGCAAAGTTACTTGATAATATTTTACAAGCGGTGTGCAGATTAATGGGCAACATAGGAAACTTTTCAAAATAAAAAAAAAGACGTCTTCCTTTTCTTAAGAACATCTCAATAATTGTGGAGGACTCATGTTTTTTGTACCAAACCTAACCCAACCAAAAATGAAAAACAAACAGAACCTGACACCAAGACTAACAACTCTCATATATCAGGATAAATGATTTCCTACTTAATTTACATCCCGTTTATGTAGTTTACCCTGACGCGAATTCTCCGTTAAATACCTACTTCCAATTCATTGAATTTGTACAGACGTTCCCTCCTGGTCAATAACCAATGTTAATTTCAGTACAAATCATATGGAATTATTATTATTAATAAGCGACATTAACAGCGACACTAACAGTGACACTAACCCCATATACTGTAGGTTTCATCACATTCTTATCACACCTGTCATGTGCTGCAGCTCCATAACTATTGACAATTGAGAATTTGGTCATTTAGTCATTTATCTTTATTTATGTATCGGGAATACAATCCCTGAATTATGATAGGTATTTACGTAACACCCTGTTTAAGTAGGTGTTGGTAACTTCTAAATATTAACCAATAACAATTCAATTACTTACTTGGTGTAATATTCTAAAATACGATAATGTTTGAATCGTATTTTGGTCAATTTAGGATAGTAGCTAAGTTTCGAATTCCATTATTTTATTGTTTGCAACCACATTATCTAACAAAAATAAGACTAATTCCTTCTATAAGACTTTCTGTGCTGATGAGAAATAACGGAGATGTAGCGAGTTAAAAATAAAAACAACATCCCCTTGAGGAGCTCTGTTCTCGGCGATGGGTAAACAATGATCTGAGGAAAATGCTGCATGATGGTGAAGTAAGTGAAGTGAGATGAGGTGAAAGGGGTCCGAGGTCATGGTTAGGTTAGGTTAGGACTTTCTTTCATTCCTGTCATGAGGGAGGGGGCTTAAAGCGGGCGTTAGCACCAGAAAAGGAGGCATGATTCGCTCGACTCACAACAAAAACCATAGGAAAAACGTTTTTTCATGGAAAAATCGAAACCTAGTTACTATCATAAATTGACCCGTATTTTTTTATTTTACGCATTGTAAGGCCAGCGGGTGGAGGAGACCAAGGCGCCCTATTGTAAACACCCTGGCAGCAAATATTTTTATTTCCCATTTAACTATAACAATATGTGTATATGCATGCATTCCCCCCAAGCATGTCCTTACAGAATGGTATTTGTGTTTTTACTTGGAGTTATTGGCAAGAGTTTTTAGTGAAGAGGAATAAGGTAATGTTATATAGTTTTAGCCGTTAGTTGTGTTATGGCTCGAGTCAGCACCGGTCGACAACATCCTCCTCACCGTGTAGGCTACTGCACTGTACATCCTCATATATAACACATTACCCTCAACAAATACAACCTGTGCTGACCACCACTTACCTCCTTGATTTACACTCCCTCACCAACGATTACACTTCACTGTGACACTTCTTAACACTTCCCTGTGACACTTCTTAACACTTCCCTGTGACACTTCTTAACACAACAACAGCAGCAACGCAATTGACGTATTACTGACCGTCTGACCGTCGTGGTTTTTGACACTGATTCATAAAACATTTCAAAACAAGTGTCGGAGCTTCATGGGACTAAATGATTTTGTCTCGTTACTGAAAGAAGACTTCCATTATATCTCTCTCTTTGAATTTACGAGACACCTGATCAGCTGAAAATTATTCTATGTACATAATAAACCTTTACTCTTCCAATTATAAAGACTATTATCCCATATGAATCAGTTCACGCTAACGAACCCACATCACCGCTGGTCATGAACCTCTGATACAACACTACCAAACTTTGTCCTCATCAGTGTCTCAAAGTGTCCGTCAACTGTGAAGAAACTGAGAAATTGGTTCTTATTTTCTTTAACTTTATTTACAAATTGAATTAAACAAAAAACATAATGAGCTAAACCCCAACTATATTAAATCATCATATATCGATAACAAGTCACAAAAGAAAACTGATATTTCTGTACTTTTAAATCGACGCTTTCGGATACATCCACCAGGCAGGACTACCACCACCAAAACAACGCAATAAACAAACTATATAACATTATCCTTATACTCTTGAGTGCTGTACTAATGTGTTATACAGACTGTAGGTAAACTCACTAGGAGGAGACAATTTACGCTTATGTCAACAACTTGGTGTTTCATGTATACGTGTATTAGGAAGCACGACATAAGTGATATGGTAGACTTAACAAACTGTTTAAAGTCATTCAGTAAAATCGTGTAAATATAATGACAATATTTCAGTAAATTCCTGAAGTTCCTGAATATTATAGTAATTTCATTAAGTCCCTGAACAAAAAAATACTTACATGACATTACTGAAATTTCCAGGGATTTCTCGAAATTACTGGTTTCACAGTCTCACGTGCTGGCAGATAGTGTGTATGATAAAGATTAAAGACGTATTAAAGACTCTCAGAGAGCACGAACCCAAGATAAATATGTTAAAAAAGAAAACGATAAACTTGAGCAACAAATAACAGGTCCCCAGCAATCAATGCAGAAAGGATTGAAGAACTTAGACGGAATCATAGTTATATCAATGCTCTGAATAGTTCAGACTGATATTATGTCATTACGACAGGCCTAACACAAGACACACAAATCTCCATAACAAGAAAACAATAAAAGATAAACAAACGCAATGACAACCACATATTAATGAACCTGGAGAAGGAGGGAGAGTCAGACGAACGAGCAAATACGTGGTTGGGTTTGAAGCCGAAATGCACATCACATAGTATACAGCCAAGTCTACTCAACCTCGACCTGGCAATGCCCCGACGTCAAAGAGCTACTCAACAACCCTCAATATAAAGATCAACTATCGATCAGAAGAGACTAAGTAGAAGAGGAACAGGAAAATGGAGACGTCAATGTAATTTCCCAGCTCTCTCACTAACAGGGCAAGAGAACTAACCTAACCTAAACTAACCGATGTATTTAGCACAAAAGCGGACACAGAATAACCTGATACCACTGTCATTCACTAGTCCTTGGCTTGTGAAAAAGTGTCCAGGGTGACTTTTTAATTTATCAATCACCATTCAGAAAGAAAAGGGCCACAAGAGGTGATAATGTACTGCTGTATGTCAAGCAACACCTGACAGTAACCAGTAATGACGAACTAAGTGAGGTGGGATCATCCGAGTCTATTTGGTGTGATATAATAACTCAAAATAAACTCCAGCTGACAGTAAGATGTGTGCTGTAGGGTTGTTCTCAGCCCAACACGAAGGAGGGGACATAATTACAAGCTTGCCAAGTTATCATACACAACGAACATAAGATGATACTTCTTCACACAGAGGCTGACAGGTATATGGAAAGGTCTACCATCTGAAGCTGTGTAATCGAGAACAGTAATGGGCTTCAAGTTAGCTTAGTGTGTGTAAGTGTAGTCTTAAGCCTCACTCCATGCTTCACAATATTCACTTCTAAAGCTTCCTTTAGTTGAGTAATGCCTTGAGATTATCTTTACGTCTAATAGTAAATTGTTCTCTGGAGCTTTGTTAACCTCTATGGCGCGAGGACAACACCTGCCTAAGACACTGTGTCAAGACTTCCCCACTGCACAAAATGAAATATTTACCTCAGTGTCTGGTGTGCCACTGTAAAGTCATTCATTGTTTACCATACCATCTGATGCAGCAGGCAGGTAGGTGATGAACCAAAACTATCTTAACGACCTTAGGTTACTGTACTTCCATTTAGATTGACTGAATTTTTCTTTTCTTTTTTAGCCTCATCTCATTAAAAAAAAAGTTTCAAATCTAAATAGCAAAGTAAAATATAACAAAGGTTATGGACGAATACATATACTATACATGATTATTGAATGATATTTAATTGTGTTTCGGAAGAATCTGTACAAATAAAATACAGGTACATAAATTTTATTTTTTATTGTCAATTTGTTCAAGTTTGATAAACATTACAGAGATACTGGACAGGTTTGTGGTTGAAGTTCACCTGAGAATATAGCCATACTATAAGCAATTTGCCATATTAAACTATTCTTTATAGGTTATAAACATAAAACGTGATGCCACTAGTTTTCTGTTTTAACAATATCAGTCGTTACCCTAATACGTGGCACCTGCGCTGTACCTGGTGCGTTACCGAGTGTGTTTGTATTTTTAGCTCTCGTGTTTCCCTGTTGTGAATAGTGAGTACACTTGAGGCGCGAACACCGTCCAAACAACAGTGACACAGAGAGGCTCCCGCTGGTTCCTTCCTCTTGCTGTTTACGGTAACGCTATTTATTTTTATCACTGAACTATTCCTTAACTTACATCATCAGGGAAAATAGACGGCATTATACTGTAGGTGTAAGGTTAACGTCTCGTGAAAGTGAACCTTTTATCTTCTAGTTGCTAGCAGAGTAACATTAACATAAACGTTACTGAGAGTTAAAGAGGCTAACATGTCTTCTCCATTCATTTCCATATGACTTGTGTGGGGTCGTGTTGGACCAAAAATTTAACATTGTAATTTTGATTTTCTTTTACGCAAGTATAAAAGGCAAAGAATAAATAAAATAGAAGTTTATATATATTGCTTTGGGGGGCTGTGATGAAGTGTGTACCAAGTTCTATGTAAAGTAATTGATAAAGTTGGGAAAGATTAGACCAAAAGCACCAGATTTTGCATTTTGGGTGAACTTTGACCCCTGTTTAGTTGTCAACGATGAAAGAGATGCATATCTATCTTTAACTGTTAAGAGTCCTTCGTGAAATCTTTGTAATGGGCCAGGCAGCTAAAATTTTCGTAAATTTTCGTCAATTTTCGTAGTCTCTGAGGAGGATAACTGTGTGGAGCCTATAACTAGGTCAACTTTCATAAGAATTGGTTTAAATATGACTTTACAGCCACTTAGAATATTAATTTTTAATTGTTTGATTCTAACACCGTAAAATCTTTAAAATTACAAAAAAAACACACTAATTAAAGTTGTCTAGGTGTATTGGTTCAAGACACATACGTGACAAGTTAATATCAATTAGCCGATAACTGAAGGAGTGAAGATTAAGTGTTAATAATTTGCCAGAAACAAGTAACAATATCAATACAACTCCATTCATTATGGTAGATTTTCAATATCGATAAAGTTATGCAAGAACAAAAATTTACAAATATACAGTAATTATAATTCTTAATCAATAAAATTAACTTCAGGGAGTAACAAGTAACACAATGAGTTAAATACTCTAGAAGATCAACAGTCATATGCTTATTAAACAAAGATAATGGTTAATATATTGTAACACCATTGAAAGAGGTTAAGTATTTCCTGTGTGTATCTCTTCATGCAGGGGGGCGATAGTGACGGTAATGATGGCTGGCAGACGTTTGGTGCCTCTGGTTGTATTACATCTCTTCTTCAGCTTCTATGTACAGGTGCGTAGTGTCTCGTGTAGTGAGGATAGTGAGGAGTGACTGTCCATACAGGTACAGGGAGAGAAAGGCATCTGTTCACGATACACAACTACAGTTTTGAAGGTTAAGAGGTGATATTTTACATGGGAGATACTCACGTGTCCCAGAAGTGTCCTGAGAGCTCAATTTCGGAGGGCTTGACCACGAAAACTGCAGATCCCCCCCCCCCTTAAGATCCTATAGGAACCCCTACATTAAAAATAGCTTTAACTGGGTGTGAGGACGACTATAACCTAGAAGTTAAAGTGTATGAGCTCCCTAACATAGAAAGTGGACACGTGATGCAGTTATTGTTTTACATGTGCATTTAACTTGGAGTGAAAATATCGATGTAGACATATTGTAGAAGATAAGTGAAGTGGATTTCTCGTCTATATTGTAGTGGATGTAATTTAGGTAGTGTAGTTAAAAATGTATTGGATGTATCGTAGATAGTGTATGGGATATAGTATGGAGTGTGTATGAAACTGCCTGTCGTAACGCAATCTTATTAGTATCTTTCTAGGGAGGCAAATTTTCACCGATAAATTTTTCGTCTCCAGAACTAAGTTTGAGAGTCCTCATAAAAGCTGGTCGGATTGTTTAGTAACATGAGTTGTAGTCAAGCTACAGGACCCGGTCTGTCGTCCCAATTCCCTCTTTATAGAACATCCAAGAGAGACGTAACGATTGGGCTTGCAGTAGAAATATTTTGCCACAGTACTTACGTGCCATTCATTATCCACCAGGGATGGTTCTGTGTAAAGAAACAGTAAATTAAAACTTAAACAAAGACACGAGCTGTTACGGGTCTGTAATATCAACCAGGCGAGTTTATACAAAACTCACTCTGGATCACAAAACACCAGGTATTACCAAAAGCTATGAACAAATTGTCAAGGGTTCTTTTCCATGACTGTCTCTCGACTATCGAAAGAAGGTCTTGACAGTTCGGTTGACGGCAAGACACTGGGGAGGGATTACGAGTCTCTCACATTATGATAATGTGAGGTCCTTCAAACGACTGTAAACTTAAGGCTCCACCTCAGCTTTTGCAATTATCTAAGACAACTAACAAATTCACACAACTTCAAGCGGGTGCGTAAGGTGGAATGCGTGTATCGCTTGCGATTAAACATGTCCAAACCTAACCTAACCACACCTAGAAACTAGCTGGTGCTTGGCAGTGTTACAAATAAGTTACATAGGTTATTCTCACCGTCCATAACCAATGGAGAAGAATCAAAACCCCTGGACATATCCCCACATACCTGGTCGTAGGGCACATGTGTGGTAATGATCTACGAATATATATACGGACTGACTGGCGGGAGCGCGAAACAAAAACACAACCGGTACTGTGGTATCATCTGGTATCATTTGATAATTATAAATAGATTGAAAACGGATAATAATGTTTTAAAAATTTCCAGGGAGAAGAAACGAAGATTTATGGATTCGTACCGGCAAACCCACAATCACTTAAACATGAAGTGTTTCAAGGTGACATGGTGTTAACAGATAGACAGATGGCTTCAGTTCTAGAGAAGGCCATCGACGACCTCTCTAAGCGTTGGCCTGAAGTTGCAGGGTTTCCATACGTCCCTTATGTGTTTGGTGACAGTGAGTACATTGAGAAGATACCACGATTTATTTATTCTAAGTTATATTTATACATAGGCTTAAATCCTTTATCAGTCTTCATTCTATTTATTAAATGATGTTCTCGCTTACTCCTGCTTTAGTTTGTAGTTTCTTTTCTCTTTATTATCATCTCTTTCCATCTACTTCCCTCTTTTCATGACTGTCTATGTTTGACAAATTCACGGCTGGATGGGCACCTGAGCCACAGTACAGCTCAGGTTCGTTCAATGGTGTCCTTTATTGCGACTGATCATAGATGATAAACTGCCGCTGGCGCTCTGCTCTGGATAAAAGTTAATAGGGAGGCAAAAGATACTATTAAGTTTAATCATATATATATATATATATATATATATATATATATATATATATATATATATATATATATATATATATATATATATATATATATATATATATATATATATATATATATATATTTATTTATATATATAGTCCGTTAGATGAGGGTTTCACATCTACGGAACCCTCGATATAATGGACTTTCTTCTCTATATATTCTGTTAAATAGAGGTTTCGTTGTAACAGTATTTCACCATAACGACTGCAGATAATGTGGACAAGGCTGCTGTCATGGCCGGCATAGAACACTGGAAGGAATTCACTTGTATAAACTTCGAGGAGACAACCAACACTGACCAGCCGCATCTACGGTTCGTGAAGTTACAAGGATGCTATTCATTCGTTGGCTATTTATCTGATATGAATGGCCAAGATGTCTCTATTGGTGATGGGTGTGAAAGCGTAAGTAGTTCTAAGATTTGCCGAGGTGTCTAGGTATCAACTACACGTTAGTTAAGTTAAAGAACACTTTCTAATCGAACATCCACTCGTAACTTTGGCCACATGTATTCTAAGACCATTACATGCATACAGTCCACACTTTCGCTCTCACCACTGTAGGGCCCAGGTGAAAATTAGGGACAAGGTATATGAATATTTCATATATTTTTGCATGCCAATTTACATGTAATTTACTTTCCAATTCTCAAAGGGATGGAAACTTAGAATGAGATGAAATAGAAAATAAATTTTCATTATAATGATCTTCAAGTAAGATACATTACAGTACCCGTTAACTTCTCGTCATATATATACTGTATTATGGTGTATATGATCTATTCCCAAAAGTACAGTCCCCTTCACTAGTGCGTTTACAGGGGCTCATCAGGTTTTGTACAGAGTGGCAGCCTCGTGTTTGTTTACATTCAACAGAAAGAAATTAGCAATATTAAACATAATATGGCATCAAATTAAAATAATATTGATATAAAAACCTCAATGATAATCATTTGTGGAATGTTTATATGACTATTTCCTGAAAACGCACGAGTGAAGGGGACTGTACATCAATAAGTCAACATGGCTTTGTCTTTCCTCCTACATAAGAATACAGGATATCGTCTAGTAAATTTATATACTCTGGTCTCATTCTAAGGGAGGCAACAATTCGAGTCTTAGGAATGGAAACAAATCGTTGCATAATGAGTTTTACGGATCATAAATTGCCTTAATTAAGTGGCATTCTTCCAGTAATCTATAATGTCTTCTATAGAGGTTGGATCTATGCTTACCTTTTATCACACACGTTTACATTTTCCTCTCATCTCCATGATATAATAGAGAAACAGACTCAACACCAGGTCACTTTAGCATTAGCACTACAGGATTCACTATCATGTGCAGTACATCAAGCTATTAAAATGGGCACTAGCACAATACATATTCATTGGCTTAAATTACTAACATCTATAATTTTAGAATTCCATAATATCAGTCAAGCAAATGCAAAAGTTATATAGTCAGGGGGATAGTTATATAACTCAAATTGTTCGACCAGTTTGTAGGTGTTTTCTTCTCCTTGACAGCTTGGCATTGTGGCTCACGAGATTGGACACGCCTTGGGGTTATTTCACGAGCAGTCGCGTACTGACCGAGATGCTTACGTGCAAATTTTCCTGAATAATATTGTAAGTGCGTCTGCGTCCAACTTTGATTTAGAAGTGTCTGCGAACAGCTTTGGCGTTCCTTACGACTTAACCTCTGACATGCACTATGGAAGCAGGGTAAGTCAAATATTTCTGTATAATTTAATCACTGTGAATTTTTCAGTGCTGTATGACACACACACACACACGCCAGATAGTTATAACATCGTAAAATTCGTTCACAGGACTTCAGCAGAAACGGGCAAAAGACAATAGCCACCCTTGACCCATATGACCAAGAACTCATTGGTAACAGAAATGGTCTGACTCACATGGATAAAAAACTAGTCAACATTATTTATTCCTGCATCGGTGAGTGTTGTCACGAACTTTGCCTATTAATTAACATATACCAACATGGTGGAATTTAATCATTTTAATGGTAATGTTCTCAGGGTAGAATTTTGTTCTACAATGGAAAAAAACATTCAGGTTTTACCAAGTCTAATATTTTCATTTTTAAACAGCATTAAGTGACTTGAAAGGTAAATATCTATATATCACAGAATAATCAGAAGGATGACATAGACACATAAATCTTTTTGTTTCAATAATCATACAAATGGAGTCTCTGGAGAGTCAGATTAATAAGGTGGCTAGGTTAGGTTAGGTTAGGTTAAATTAGGTTAGGTTAGGTTAGGTTAGGTTAGGTTAGGTTAGGATAGGTTAGGTTAGGTTATTATTGTTATAGTAAGATCGCAAAACTAGGGATATCATAACATTTCTGAAATTTTCTGCAATTTCGTGTTTATTTTATCTTCCCGAGTAAACTAATGAATTTGTAGAGACTGCTAAGGATTTCTTCATGCCATTTAGGCCTTGACCAGTACACAGTTTGGCGTTTGGCAAACAATCATTAAACCCAAGAGTGTTTGTGTACATTAGTGGGTCTATTAGGGATGTCTTTCAGGTGACCTTTTCTTGGGTCAGTGTCACTATTCGTGGTTTGTTTGATGTCGAGTAGTGATGTTGTTACTGTCTTCAGCCAGAGTTGGCCTTGAGAGTGCGGTTTTCTATATATTGTGTTTTTTCTTGTATATCGTAAGTATTGTTCCTATAAAGATAAATGATAACGTAATTGTAAAGCCATGATGTGGTTTTCCAACAGATAAGTGGCTGGCAAATTGTCCAGGTAGCCCTACAGTAGACCCATGTCAAAACCATGGATACACTGGCAAAGACTGCACCTGCGTCTGTCCATCTGGAACAACTGGAGCGACTTGCGAAACGATCACCGGAGATTATTATGGTCAGCCTATGTTGAGATCTGGGCACCACATGAAATAACAACCTAACAACTAGACATAGAACTAATATTATGTGAACAATCTATTAGGTAGTGGCATGTCTCTCATTTACTACACCCGCAAGATAGTTCATTTGCATCAACCTTATTGCCTACAGTACTGTAGTTCAGGTAGACTGTCTTCTCTTTGGTAGAAATTTATACTCTTTTGTCCAGATATGGCAAGTAGATTCGGAAAGATTGACTTTATGGTAAGTTCCTAGGTGTTAAATTGTGCAAAAAAGAAATGCAGATGGCCCAGGCTGTTTATTATTATTATTATCAATATTATTATTATTATTATTATTATTATTATTATTATTATTATTATTATTATTATTATTATTATTATTATTATTATTATTATTATTATTATTATTATTATTATTATTATTATTATTATTATTATTATTATTATTATTATTATTATTATTATTATTATTATTATTATTATTATTATTATTATTATTATTATTATTATTATTATTATTATTATTATTATTATTATTATTATTATTATTATTATTATTATTATTATCATTATTATTATTTTTATTATTATTATCATTATTATTATTTTTATTATTATTATTATTATTATTATTATTATTATTATTATTGCTATTATTGGTAATAGTGCTAGTAGTAATAGTCGTAGTAGTATCATCATCAGTATATTCCTAATGCCTTGTCAGATTCGGCTCGCTCTAGTTGCAGTCAGCGTATCACCAGCACTGCCACTATACAAGTTGAAAGTCTCACAGCTTTTGTCTTGGGTGGTGAGTAAATAATTGTTCATTCAACTCGTTTGATTTATTTATTTTATCATGATTATTTTGCCATTTCCAAAATTTAATAATACTGCTACGCATAATCTACGAGACAGTGTATAGTATAATTATAAACTCTCTCTCTACTGCATGTACTGCATTATAACTACAACGCATTAATAACGAATTTATTCAACAGGTTTTCAGTGTTCGAAGGTGATCAATGCCCCACAGTGTATGTTGCCGAAAGTGACCTTTACGAATTTTATCATGCGTGAAAGAAGCGCAGGCAACTTTTACTGTAGTGAACCAACTGAAACGTGCTGCATTGAAGGACTCGAGATAATACTGGACACCTCACTTGATGGCACATGGTAATACACTTTACTACATGACACAATACTAGGAGTGTGTCGCCTCCTAAGTGTGATGTTGGGAGGCTTTGTGTGGCGACCTGTGGTGTGTGATGATCAGCAGGTTGAATGTATGGAAGTTTATTTATGCCATTTGCCTCTGTGGAAATTTGGAACGTCATTATATCCTTAGTTTTATAGTTATCTGGAGGAGGCTATAAGGCCCTTGTTGTTTATGTTATTCTGTACATGATATCAAAGTATATCTAAGGCCGTGTTATTTAATCTTTCACCTCTTAGTTTCTCATCTTCTCTCTGGTGATCTTGACAGTCAAAATATAAACAAAAAATAACAAAAACTCTCTGCCAGCAATGTGTTTCTATGTTACAATCTACCAACACGTGATTAGACCGCTCTGTTCTCTTGGTTAGGTATTGTGGATCAGAAATAACAGCTGGCCAGAGCTTCACCGCTACTGGCAGACGGATGGTACTCTACACCTTCCTTTTCAACCGTGGATTCTCATGGAGCGCCACAGTAGAGTTTGTGGATGATCCAGCCTGCATGTAAGTACTGTTTCTACTGTCTCTCGGGCTTGTAGGTTATTATATTATGATGAATTATGTAACACAAATCTAATGGTTTAAGCCAGTGTGTATAATTTGATGGCGTTAAAATCCTTTGAACTTGCATGATGAGATGTCATTAGTTCATATTGTGTATGTAATCTCCCTTAATTACAGGCATATCATTACAGGTACCAAAATAACTTAAAAATAATAGTTTGGTCTTTTGCTAATTTTGTTTTCTGAGAAATTTCCAATCCGGATTTCTTTTTTCAAGTCTCATCCTATTAAGGATCAATCCACTCAATATTGCACAGGAACACATCTTAATTTAGTGCCTAACCTAAGTAATGTCTAGTGTTAAGAGAATGACCAAAGTTTAACCTCTATCAGTCACCGACATATTGGTTAAGTTGGATCTTCAATAGAACTTTGCATAGTCAAAGTATATTGAAATTTCACGCAACTTCCCTTTAACTTATAGAAACATATGTTATGTCTTAACGTAAAGCTGCATAACCTTATTTTCTTCTCCTGTCTCAACAGTACCTCGACAACTACAACAACAACCACAACTACGACAACAACCACACCTTCAACAACTAAAACAACAACCACCACTACACCAACAACAACCACTACACCAGCAACCACAACTTTAACAACTACAACAACAACCACAACTACAACAACCACAACAACAACCACACCTCCAACAACTACAACAACAACCACAACAACAACCACAACAACGACATTAACCACAACTTCAACAACTACAACAACAACCACAACTACAACAACAACAACCATAACTTCAACAACTACAACAACAACCACAACTACAACAACAACAACCACAACTTCAACAACAACAACCACTACCACCACATCAACTACAACCACAACAACGACGACGACCACAATTTCCTGCGACTTTGATTTTATGTCGGAAAATACGTCGATTCTCAAATACAGTGATCGTGAGATACCCGTCTTTAACTTCATCTGCCCGCTGCCAACGTCAAGAGTGAGTCTATGCTTGTACGTTAATAGAATGACAACATAAGGCGGGTAGAGTGTGTGAGGGTGACGTTATAAAGAATGATGGTGCGTTAGGGTGAAGTTAGGGAGAGTGTAGGTGCGTTAGGGTGATGTTAGGGAGTGTGGGTGCGTTAGGGTGAAGTTAGGGAGAGTGTAGGTACGTTAGGGTGATGTTACATACAGTACAGTGTTACGTGTAAGAAAGGCGAGACATTTTTTGTTTAAGGAATGAGATGAAACTTATAATAATTTCAGGTCATGTAAAACGGAGAAAATCCTGTTGTTATTTATTTAAGGGTTTCCACATTTTTCTTCAGGTCAAACGGCAAGTCAGAGTGGGAAGAGAAGAGAACGAATCACCCTCATCCAGATCCAACGATGCAAAGTCGAAGAAATCCCAGACTCTAAATAGAAAACTCAAAGTTAAAGATGATAACGTTAATGCTAAAAGAAGGAACAGATCAAAAGTGAATACCAAGAAATCTGGTATGAGAAAATCGAAACTCAACTCGAAGAAATCGGACATGAGAAAATCGAAACTCAACTCCAAGAAATCGGACATGAGAAAATCGAAACTCAACTCCAAGAAATCTGAATTGAGGAAACTTAAAAACAAAACTAAATTGACCTCGAAGAAAAACAACTTCAATAAAACAGACAATAAACGACAAAATAACGGAGACAAAAAATTAAAAAAGGGAAATAGTGAAATTAATCAACACAAGAAGGATGATAAGAAACAGAAAGAAATATCCATGAAGACGAAGAAGGTGAAGAAAGTGAAGAAGAACTCTGTGGCTAAGAAGATGAAGGGAACAAGTATTGAGAGACCAGAGACAAGAAGCAAAGATCTCAAGAAGCAGGGAATTGAAGAACACAAGGAGGAGTCATCATCGTCTCAAAGAACAGTGTTAGCCTCGTCATATGGTAACAAAAAAGGACTCTACGGTAAGAAACGATAACGGTCCTCTTCACAATCTCGTTAGGCCCTAGTAGAAGTAGTAGTAGTAGTAATAGTAGTAGTAGTAGTAGTAGTAGTAGTTGTTGTAGCATTAGTAGTAGTAGTAGTTTCTTATCTCATTCAAGACACTATGTAAATAAGTAACTGTTTGTAAGAGTATTGGCCAATTTAGCAGACTTGGCTTACACACCTCGTTAGTCAAAATCCACACACACACACACACACACACACACACACACACACCCTAGCCTTACATGTGTTTGCTACTCCTCATTAGTAAGTATGTTTTCTTGGTAGTGTATCCATATAGCATTTGTCAATACTATTTCACCACTAAACTTTCCAACTCAGTATACAAGTCTCAATAAAAATCTCCTGACAAGATTCTCAAACCACGCTTCAGTAGCTTGGTTCAATTCATCTCCATCTACGGTAAGACTTCAGGTTTTGAGACAAATAAGATTTGCTTGGGGCCAGATGAGGACTGTAAGGAGAGGTTGTTGAACTGGTCGAAAACACAGTCAACAGAAGAAAACAATATGACACGGAATTTGGAGATTGGAGCATTAGCATAGGGTTGGAACACACCTAACGTCATCATTTCTTCAGGATTACATAGTACTGTCTTCGCATTAGGATAACACTTAACATCCACTGGTGATTGTTTGTTTGACTATAAGGTGACCAATCAGCTGAATTCCTTTCATATCTCAGAAGATCTAGACCATGAAGCAATAAATTGTAAACATTAGCGAAGTTAATTGAGGCAAACACACAAACGTATAACTTTATGTTCTGTTCTGTTCTTGAATTGTAAACCTTCTAACTGTCCCTCGTTAAGCGATTGATCTATTTCCCTTTTGTCTTTCTGTGTCTGGCCAGATATCAGCGACCTGTGCAACAGTAAGTACCAGCTGGACGACCCTGACGACCTCTTCTACTTCGGCTCGCCAGACCCACAGTCCAACCTTAAAAAGTGCAAGTTCACCGTCAAGGTAAACTAAAACGCTCCCGATCACCATATTACGGAAAGACGATGATATCCTTCTGTGTCTGTCTGTTTGTCTGTCTCTAAATATATACTTTATACTGTATAATGAAGAGTTGGTTGACAATAAACGCTGTTTTTGCTCTATTGCAGGCCCCAACAGGCGTGTACGGTAACCTCTTCGTTGACTGCCTCAACTTTAACCTCAACAAAAAAGGATGTAAAATGGAATCACTGCAACTCAAGGAGAAAGGAAGAAAAAGAAATAAGTGAGGTTCTTGATCAAGCTTACACCTACAACCAACACTCCTGACAGACTACATTAGATATGGATACACCGTGAAACATATAGCCAGACTTGAGTGTGAGAGATGTACCCAATACACCTAACCTAACCTAACCTAACCTAACATAACATAACCTATGGGGTAAACTATGTTATCTCGGCAAAAACTAAAAATCCCATTGATACTAAACTCGACACCAAATATTGAGATAATCATATTTAAAATTTAAGCATTGACCATAAACATTGACCATAAACAACGGCCATTGACCATAAACATTGACAATAAACAACGGCCATTGACCATAAACATTGACTCTAAAAATACCATAAATAACCATAAACATTGACCATAAACATTGACCATAAACATTGACCAAAAACATTGACCATAAACATTGACCATAAACATTGACCAAAAACATTGACCATAAACATTGACCATAAACAACGACCATAAACATTGACCATAAACAACGACCATAAACAACGACCATAGACGAACATTAACCAAGAATGTCTGTTGTTGCAGGAAGAAATACTGCAGTAACAAGTTTGATAACGCGTTCCTCGCTGAGAAAGAGGTGAAAGTTATATATACAAGGATACCATACCAGAGAAAGACTTGTTCTGGGGGATTTTTCTGCTACGTCGGTTTTATCGAAAGTAAGTGAGAGATGAGAAATGTAATAAGGAACTGTTCATAATTTTTTTTTTAAGAGTTCAAGTGTCTGAGGAAATAAAATGACGTGGGAATGATATTTATTCTAATATGTAGTCAGAATTCTGATGGTGTCCCTGTTTGATTAAGTTAGGTTAGGGTAGGTTAGGGTAGGTTAAGTTAGGTTAGGTTTAAGTTAGGTTAAGATATCCCCGTCTCTAAATATCTTACGTGTGTTGCTTTCTCCTGCCAGAGACTCCGGAATATGGGAAGCAGGAAGGTAAGAGTGAGTCCATCGTAGCTCCACTGCCCAAGCAAATCTATGCTCCAGACCCCTTTGCTCACGGTGAGAAGTTGGATTTGCATCACATCTAACTCGTGTGCATGCTGATACATCTAAACGTATCAGTGTTAGCCCCCAAGCTTTGTGTTTCTCAGAGTGTTGTTGGATACATGTACCAGTGAACTAGATTCTAATATACTTCGATAGGTTATGTCTTAGTGACTTATGAACTAAACTCGCAGTAAGAGAGGCAGAGACGCAACACAACGCAACGCAATGCAACACAATACAACACCACGTAGAACTAAGGCCTGAAATAACTAGGGTGATACTAGACCAGACATAATGATTTACAATACGATACTTAAGATTCTGTAGAGATTTCGATTAAAACATAAGTTCACAAGCGATACCTCCATATAACGGACTGAAATCTCCATATATAAAGGTAGATGAGGATTTCTCAGCTAACGGATCCTCTATATAACGAATTTTCTTATCTATATAGTTCATTAGATGGAGGCGTAATATCTAACGGACCCTCTATATAACGGACTTTCTTATCAACATAGTCCGTTAAATAGAGAGTCCACTGTATGGGTTACTGGTGATTTGCAGACATATGTGGTGAGGTGTGGCTGAAGCCGGGAGAAACGCTGGTGTTTGCTTCCTCAAATAACGCTTGGAAGGCTTCCTGTTCCATCAAGTTTAATGTAAGTCATATAACCTCCATCTTTAAGGCATTATTCTGATGAACTTAGTTAATATTATTTTCCGTCTAGTAAATTAAAAGTTTACCCAAAACATAAATAAAAATATCCAAGTAATAATAATATTTACACTACAACTACATAATAATAATAATAATAATAATAATAATCTTCAATACTCAACTGCATTAGAAATATTATTGATATGAACTGTATAAATCTATTATATAAAAAAGATAACAAACATGACAAGTGGTGATATGTTACAGGCTCCTGAGAACTGGGTGTTGACGCTCTCCTGCCCACACTTCAGTCTCTCCAAGCTAGGCTGCAAGACGGAATCCCTCAAGTACACCGAGATCGTCGCCGGCAAGAAGATTAAGTCAGTTATTTTTCTGTGTTAATCCTCATCTCTTTATTTAATTATATTTTGATATTTTACTTTTCTAAATACATAAGAAACAAGGGTTAATTGATTCATTAATAGCATTGTAATACAGTATGCAGTAACCTTTTTTTCTATATTTTCAATTTCTTTCCGTTCTTTTTTTTTTGCCCCCCAGGCTCCGTTGTGGGTCGTTTGACCTGTGCCCGGGTGGGCTAATTCCATAAAAAAAAAATTACAACTCTTGCTCACTTAATATTATATTTAGTTTTACATAATTTACTCTCAGGTGTAATTTCAACATCTCTTTGCTTCTTCAGTTCGCCTTACTTTCTTATTCCACACACACACACACACACACACACACACACACACACACACACACTGATACGTAAAGCAAATAAAAAAGTAATGGCATATCTAAATGTCCAGACACGTGTCTCCACAAATAATAATAATAATAATAATAATAATAATAATAATAATAATTATAATAATAATAATAATAATAATAATAATAATAATAATAATAATAATAATAATAATAATAATACTAATGATACTAATGATACTACTACTACTAATAATAATAATAATAATAATACAGTAAAATCATCATAGACAGTTTACATTTAGTTTGGTATGTACAGTATATAAACTATGTAGGTATACAGTTAGGTGGTAGGTAGTAGGCAGCTACCAAACAGGGAGGTACTACCGCCTGGGAAGATATTGGAAGCATAATGTGTTGTCTAATGGTAGACCTTGCTGCCATAAGGCATCACGAAAATTGTGACCAATTCCCAGGCTGCTGATCTGACCTTCTGCCTCATTTACACACAATTGCAGATCTAAATTGTTTCTCATACTATTGACAACACAACATACATATATTGTTTCTTATTTTTTATCTTTTTTTATAATTTTTGTATTTCTTTATTATTATTATTATTATTATTATTATTATTATTATTATTGTTATTATTATTATTATTATTATTATTATTATTATTATTATTATTATTATTATTATTATTATTATTATTATTATTATTATTATTATTATTATTATTATTATTATTATTATTTCAGTGTTATTATTATTATTATCATTATTATTTTTTTATTATTTTTTTTTACTTTTGATTAAAAAATTTATTTACTATGAATTATTATTATTGTTATTATTATTATTACATTTTCGCCCCCCAGGCCCCGATGTTGGTCAGTGACCTGTTTCCCGGTGGGCTAAGCCCCGCAAAAAAAGAAGAAAAAAAAAAAAAGTTTAATACCTGCAACTGTGTAAACAACAAAGATATATAGTGTACATAGACTGTGAAGGTTCAGTATACAGCTTCCAATGTTAATGTACCTAGACACTGCAAGTTACAACAATAGTAAACAGTACGCCAACCTGATTAAGAATTATCGACAAAGCCTTCAGATTTTTTTCAATGTTTCTTTTTTTTTGCTTAGGTTTGTCAAGTTATATGTAAGGGAATAAAAGTTAAATTTCCTTGAAAAATATAACAAGCATTCTTTTTTTTAAGATTTATAGGAATGTTATCTACGCAGATCTTAAGCTAAAAATGCTGGTCCTCCCTATAACAAGTATTACATTGCGCTTGCACTATCTGTTAGACTACGGACACCGAGTCGCTTATAATAGTATCATGGTATCATAAAGTTGTGTTCATTCCTGCCAGTTGAGACGTTTCTAAACAATTATATTCCGGTTTTTATTTGTTTTCATTAATGAGCTTTACACCTTTTCAGAGTGAGATCTATATCGTTCTTCCTAACATAAACAGAATATTGCGTGAGGTACCCCTGCCAAGCTCTCAAACACTTTCTTTGCAGTGACAGTTTTCGTTGAAATATAATGTCATCACCAAGGCAGGAACATCAGCTGTGTGCTAATTACGTTATAACCACACAGGGGGAAGCACTGTGAGAGAGACGCCCCACAATATACATCTCAGACCAACATGTTGTTACTAAAGTATAGACGAAAGGAGCTGCTGAAGACCAGGTGTTCACAAGGGTTCGTCTGCCAAGTAACTGTAGAGTCAGGTAAAATATAGGCCTACAAACATGTCCTTTGTACACGTGGATATAAACAATGCTTATATCATGTTTTATAATGTATATATTAATACGTATACATATACACTATATTCTAGATGACGTAAACTAAGGATTACACACATTACCAAAATGGCTAAGATACATTATCTTCACTGTACGACTACTCAACTGCAGCTTCCTAGGCCGACCCTTAGTAGTGTTTATTCTGAACGTTTGTCTACAAAAGACCAGTAACAAAATCTAGACACTAAATCAAAATGAGGATTTTTAGGGGTTTCGTTTAATTTCATTTCATATCGTTTATTATTGTATTACGAAACAGTAAAGATGGTTCCTTATGTATTAACAATGTAAGAAAAACTGGTTTCTGATTAAAACTGACTGTAGATGGATGTCACAAAAATAATATATTGAAAGGTATTCAACTTTGCTTACAATCTTCCAGTACACATCTCAAAGTAAGACTCTTTAGTAACAAACTATTTCCTTAGGACAATAATTCCTCAGTAAAAGTAAATATCAATTTTTGGCTTCATGGCTTCAAGTTACATTAATCTACCTTACAGTGCCGAATAAATTTTATGTAAAAATTTTAGTTTTAGGTAATTTTTTCTTGAGAATATTGCAGATAAAATGACCAGTACTAAGATTAAGCTCAACACTTATACTAAGCCTGGTAAAACGCATGACCAACATCCCGGCATTAAGCAGTGTCATGGGCGAGGTAATACGGTAGAAACACATCAACACATCACCCTACCATGAATCAACCTCACCATTAACTCACCATACAACAAGAGTTTAGAGGCTGACTGCCAATTGATTTATTTTATATAACAAAATGACTTTTGTGGAAAATGGTACTGTGACATCAGACTATTTAAGTACGTCACTATGTCATACCACAACTACAACAACTATATAATGGTCTATTTAATGGATGTATTCACTCTTTACTGGCGCAATGACATCATCTCTACCACTACCCCAGGTCTGGATCCTCGACCGTTGTGTCGTAAGTCTCGTACTGTTTCCAGAGTAGACTGTGATATACTTCTGCAATAACCTAACATCGGAACTTTCAATATTCATCTACCAGTAACTTTCTTTATGAATAAAACTGTAAATAGTTTATATTTGCACTGACATTTATCGTGTCAAATATATCACCTCTTATCAATAATACTTGTCACATGACTGCCTCAGTGCCAGGAAACTGTATATTAATCATCGTTGTTATATTTTCCGGCAGCGTCGTGTGGTGTAGGTAAGGTAACTCCACCCAATAGGATTGTTTCCGGTGAGGATGCTGACCAGGGGGAATACCCGTGGCTAGTTCAGATCTATATCACGGATATCGGTAACTTTTGTGGAGGCAGCCTTATCTCCAGCCATTGGATTATGACAGCTGCTCACTGCTTCTTCAGGTAAGTTGATATTGATATTGAAACAGTTTATTTAGCCAGAAGAACACAGTTACAGAGTCGTTAAAAATCATAACAGTAACATGGTTGAGCCAGCAGAGAGCCTGAGCTCTCTTGAAGGCACCTGATATATACTGTACATTTATCTCAAGTGTTAAAGTCACAAAAACTTAGGAAATTTCTAGAGAAGCAAAGCGGGACATCAAGAATCTAATGGTCAACGGCTCTACGGCTTAATATGACTGACACAATTTTAATTAGAGGTCATTTACTGACCTATATCTACAATTTAATTTCGTATGAAGGATACATCATACTCACTAATCATAGTCAATATCAGTGACGGTGAAAGTGTCTTCATGTATAGCGAAGGAAAATCAGCGTTGTGCAGAACACACAGACGTCGGCATAGGTAAACATGGAGTACAGCTGATTGTTGTACCTATTTTCAGGAATGGGACAATAGGAGGCACTTCCATCGAGGTGGCTCTTGGGGAACTGATGCTTGATCCACCAAAAACTTTTGGTATCAGTGAAATCGTCATCCACGAGGACTTCGATATCAATACTTTAGTAAGAATGATGCAATAGTTAGTCTGTTTCACTGGCACTGAATATCTATCTTCCAACAAACGTCTATTGGTGATTACTATATAATAAAGTTCACATGAATGTTTAATACAGAGCAATATTCAGTAAAGTATACATATCTTCCCTCTTCTTCATGTATACTTGTTATCTCTTTGTTCCCCTTTGATTAGCTTATCCTTGATCTTATCTCCCACTTTCAGACGAATGACATCACACTCATAAAGTTGGTTGATCCAGTCACCTTCACGCCCAACATCGCCCCCATCTGCCTCGCTACAGAGGAAGATATAATGCCGGGCGAGAACAACGCTATCGTGGTAGGCTGGGGTCTGCAAGGCTGTGGTAAGATATTTTGCGACTGATTCTTGTTACAACAAGTTGACTTATGACAGAAGGAATCGGATAACCCAACCTAACCCTATTTTGTATTTTTTTTTTTTTATTGGGCGCTCCCCTACATCATTGTGTAAGGTGAAGCGCAGAAGCGTTTACAGTTCCCAACAGGGAAGCATGCTAAGTTCATGCTTGCCTTTATGTCTCATAAGTTAAGGGCGTAGAAGCCTGAAGAGTCAGTGGTTTATGTCATCAAGTTATTGGAAGCTTCAACAACTTGTCCCTGAGCATGGACTAATGGGGGCTAGGAAGTAAGTCCAAACAACTTCCACCGGCCCTGGAATCGAACCCGTGACATCTCGCTTGCGAGGCAAGAACGGTACCGCTTCTACCACCGATCCCCCATTTTTGTATATTGCAATACACATATAATATCATTCTATAACTACTCGGGATTTCCTTTTTCATGATAAATGAAAAAACAACAACAAATACTTCCCTTCTCATCAGGTCTGCCACAAGCGAGCACCTTGAAGGAGGTATCAGTAGACTTGATAACCGATGACGTATGCAAGGATTTCTATGAGAGTAAACCTCAGCCAATCCCTATACTTCCCACCCACATTTGTTCTTCTGACCGAGATGAAGGCGATACTCCTCTTCTTGTAAGTATTTGAGTGGTTTAAAGAACTCGGGTAATCTTATATTTTCTGATCCTCCAGTTCAGATAATTAGCTAAGAGTATCCATGTGGAAGCTATTTAGACTAGAGACATTATCACTGCCTAGAGGAGGGCTGCCAGTGACTTGTGGACTGTCACCTTTAGAAATAGTAGTCAATGGCCGCTTGGGTTTCACTCCTCAAAAGAAATTTATCAACACCAGTAAAGAAAATATTTTGAGCATCTGAAAACTGAGATTATCAATGCCTTGTAATTATAAATTATTAATCTGCATTCTTCCTGATTAATTCAATTTCAAGAAATTATTATATAAAGTTGAAGGTAATGAATGGTACTGTTGAGTAATTAATAATGTCCAAATTTACATGCTCTTATTACGTGCTCTTACTTAAGTGCTCTTACTTTTCAAATAGATTTAGAAGGATGTGTTTCTCCTCGTTCAGTATGAGAAACAAAGGAGAGAGAAAGAGAGAGAGAGAGAGAGAGAGAGAGAGAGAGAGAGAGAGAGAGAGAGAGAGAGAGAGAGAGAGATAGAGAGAGATGAGAGAGATCCTAATGCTAATGAATAATTTTATTTCAATCTATTTCTGTGTTCGAAAATCTTGTGTGTTAAAGGGTGACAGTGGAGGCCCGATGATGCAACAACTACCCGACGGCCGGTGGGTAGCTGTCGGCATTGTCAGTTTCGGCTCTATCTGCGATTTTGGTGAGCCTGTTGTTTACACCCGCGTCCCAGCCTTCATCCCGTGGATCACCAAAACCATCGGAAAAGCCAAATGTTGTAAGTGGGCACAGCTGTTTCTACTTCATAAGTGTGAGTGACTGTGAGATGAAGATGACTGTTTTAGGGAACTGGTCTTGGTGCATAAATGAGTGACTGATATATTGATGTTGGACTCGGGTGGCTGCGGTATATAGATGATTGCGGTATATGGGTGGTGCGGTATATGGGTGGGTACAGTATATAAGTGACTGCGGTATATTGTTTGATAGACTACTTAGGTAGCGGTAAATTATGGGTGATTACTTTATATGGTTGAATGCGGTAGGCGGGTTACTGCGGTAGTTGGATGGTTGTGGTATAGGTAATGGTAGTTTTAGGTGGGTGGTAATAGTAGGTGGAGGGGGAGGGGAGAGCTGTGTTAAGGTGAGAATGCTGTGATTAGTGAATGATTACAGCAGGTACAGGTGAGAGTCGTGAAAGGATGAAAGTGTTACAAATACATGAGAGGGAAATTGAACCTGTTTCCGTCCTATTTCCATTTAATTGTCACCCAATAATAACACAGCTTCTCTGATACCCAATAATAACACCCTACTATTTGCACCACTGTAGAGTTAGCGTCAATAAAAAGATTATAGTTATATGCAAATTACTCATGAGCTTCAAATACCCATAGTTACTTTCCCATTGAGAATCAGACCCAATGTTCATGGGATGTTTTTAATTGGCTGTGACCTGAAAAACTCCAAAGGCACTGATATAAAGTCCTGGGACATCATGTAGAATAACACCTCTCACTTTGATGGCACTCTAGTCTTGAATGTCACTAGAGAGAGAGAGAGAGATTAATAACACACAATCAATCCTCAATGGCCAGTTCCCTTCACTTCCTCCTTACTTCCTTTACAATACAGATGAGCGGACCACCGATCATCTGTTTTTTGGTCGATGGCTATTTGATGGATGGCACTACACTATATTAGAACCCAAATCACACAACCCTAACTTTCCCCTTACAACTACCAAACCATCTCCATAATCTCCTTCACTAATTTCTTTCCTGTGTTCTCTTCCAGATTAAAGTTAATATCTCCCGGCCACACGTTATATCCTCCTCCCTGTTCCTATGGTTCCTGGCACAGTGCTGAGGGATAAGAAGACCTCAAGACGTTGCTCCAACATGGTCACTCTACCTGTCACCACGCTGAAGTATTTCTTCTTCAGTATATTATATTGAGCGATGATTTGGTTGATTTTCTTTAAGTTGTATGCTATTATTTGCTAATGCTTTGCACCCGCACATATGAACAAAATTGTTATTATTGTTATTATTATTATTATTATTATTAGTAGTATTATTATTATTATTATTATTATTATTATTATTATTATTATTATTATTGTTATTATTATTGTTATTGTTTGTCTATTCAATATTGTACCTATTTGAATATGGTAAAACAAAAATATTCTCTTTTTATCCTCAATATTATATAGAACGTATTTATTTAAGGCACCATTATTGGCCAAGACTAAGCATACAGAGGCTATTACATTGCTCGGCCACTACCCACCGAGTTCCACATGATGTTGTATCAACATAAATGAACCCTTGTATCTTAACTTTTATATAATGAATGTGTGCTCTACCTAAGCTGACAAATCTACTACGTTTATGTTGCTGGTGGTTGAGATTCAGGGGGACTTGCCTTCAGCGCCTTTCTAAGGTGTGCAGTGAGCACGACAAAGAACTAGTACATTGGTATCCCAAAGTTATAATTACCTGAGAGCATGAAATTGACGGGATGGCAAAGTTCGTTTGCCCAATGTCAAAAGAGTGTCTTTGCTTCCATTCGGAATACTTCCATTTGCCAAACATTAAACTTATTAATAGAAAGCATTAGAATATTTATTATTTTTGGATGATGCTTAAGCTTAGCTACTATTAGAGAATAGGAGTTAAATGAGGATCTGTTTTGGCTATCTGCAAATTTTCAAGGAAGTTATTAACTGCCGGTGATAAATATTCATGCATTTTCATAACTTGGCTTCATGCTCAGCAGTAATAGTATCAAATACAGCTTGTGTTTGGTTAGTTTTGATATTCTTGGGTGCAGTTTATCAATGTAATTATTGTGTTATTTCCGACAAGCATTTGGCACGCCAGGTTGAATCTTGTTGGAGGCATATTGTGGTGTTGAGTGAGTATTGTGTCTCGTAGACTATCGGGTACCATAATTTGCGTGACAATAACCTGCACTTCCAGTTAAGTGGTGCAATATTTATTATATAAGCTCAAAACTGTTTTAATGAAAGAGGTAACGAAGCCTTCCATGCAATGTACTTTATTAACTATAAGTCTGAAAATCTCTAAGATTTAACGCTTGGTCCACTCTACTTATAGGACAGCATAAATTACGCTATGTTCAGCTCTTGCTTGTTGCAGAGTGAATGTTGAAGCGTAATCTAATTTTTTGCTGTTCACGTCTGGTGTGTGATTCAAATTACACGGCATTTTAGCTAAAGTGTGCTTCTGGGCTAATGCCATTGTGCTTGGTTTTAGCTTAGCATTCACACAAGAATTAAGCAAAGAATAAAAGTTAAGTACTGTATGGTAGGTATTATTATTATTCATTGGAGTTCGTCGACGTGAAAGACCTTCCACGCTTGAAATATGCCTTGGCTGCATCGCTGTTTATTGGATGGTATTCTTACCTTGGTCGAGTGGTGAATTACGCTACCTTAATGCAAGTTCAAGTTAATATTTATTTAGTGGAAGTGTAATGGGCTCATGTAAATGCCACATCCTAATTTAATATCATAAAACTTATATTTATCTCTTTATTTAATGTGGTCACAAGGGATGTTTTAATATATAAATATCTATAACTCAAGAATTTTTTGTTGTCTCGCATGTCTAGAAATGAATGTGGGTTCCCGGGGAAGGCATAAATGTTATGGTAGTCAACAAATTGTTTAATTAAAGTCATTCACTATGATAGTGTAAAATTAATGACAATATTTCAGTAATTTCGTGAAGTTTCTGAGTGAAACAGGAATTTAAAAGATTATTCTCGGTTTGTTAAATATGTTAGTCTTCCATATCTACACTAGCTGGTGAGCTCAAGCTGCCTGACCTAACTACTGTACTGTACAGGGGTACACATCTGCACCCATATGTTTTATGTATAACCTCATATGTTTCTGTCTAACGGTGTACTGCTCTTAATATTAGGTATAATATTTTATCTCTCAACAACATTTTATATCTCACGGAACGTACAGAAGTAGAACTGGGACTGGCATGGGTGTTGTAAACTTCCCCTGGTTTTATCAGTGATAGACAACAATGAAAAGAAAATACAACTTCTGAGCTTATTGTGGAATCATATACAGGAATATGTAAATGTTGTCTTTCCACACCATAAACAATAGTCGTGTATATCACACTGTGACTTGCATATACAATAAGGGTCAACAACCTCTACACACCTTTGTACAAAATTTTCCTGACAGAACAACGTATGATTATGTGTGTGAAATAATAATACTTCAAACAAAATATGGGAAAATAATAATACTGATACCCTCAATAATAATAATAATAATAATAATAATAATAATAATACAGTAATTCTCTAAAACAACCTCATGTGGTGTAGTTACAATGAGTCGGCTGGCGAAGTTAATGGTGAACAGATAACAGTAATGTAGTGCAGCTTCTTCGACACAGGAACACATCACCAATAAACTGAGAGAGTGATCAAGAGGGAATGAGGAAGAGCTCCAATGTTTGGTTATAATGTACTGATATGGATAAAGTTAAGGCAGGTAGAGAGAAACATCGGGATATCAAGAATCTTAGGCGTTTTGTCTTCTTCCGCGTACTGTTAACTATCATCTGTTTCCTTTTAGCTGGAGTTAATTCTTGAACAATGTAAACCTGAGAAGAGATCTTGGTTATTGTTGAAAGTAAGGACATCTGCCGGGTCATATTTGCTTATGTCTCTCCCCCACACACACACTTGTTCCCCCTTCCTAGTATGAGAGGCTGTTTACGATTTACTGAGAGGTAAACTAAGTGGGGTGCTCACATGATCCTTCAGGAAAGAGTGAGTGTTTTTTATCAAATCAAATATATCTTTTAGTGACTCTAGTTTACACAGTTTTTCTTGTCTCGACAGATCTTCAACGCTAAATTAGTTATTGTACACTTCATTAGTTTATCGATTTCTATGATAAACATATTTATTGGGCTGGTAGTTGTTTGTGGGGCCTGTTGATCCGGTATCACTGCGTGGGAAGGCTGGCCAGCTATGGGGCCCATAGGTGGTAGTGGGGGGCTTCTGACGCTCGGGATTCACGGAGATAACCGATTCTACTGGTCTTCAGACATCTCCCCAGACTAGTGGATGCGTCATCCACGCTACAGACAGCCTAGGCTCTGACGGGACCTGTGGGGTGAGGATCGTGGCGGCTTACTGACGGTTTGAAAAGCAACCGCCACCCTCTCACCCACGCCAGGTCACAGATTCCATCTACTCAACCATTTCATTGTATTACGTTACTGTACACTCTGACGTTTGCAACTGAGACTACGAACTCAGTTTCATTCCCTAATATTCTCTTTACAAACAATGCTAAATTGATCACAAAAGGTCTTGGATGGCAATCCTGGTGAGCAAGTCTCAACACGCAGCGCCCCACTACCAACACGAAGAAGCTGGTCTAAATATTCCTTTCAGGAAAATTAACTAATTCCATAGTTAACATCCTTACAACAATTTACTATGATTATCAGGGTCTCTGATATTCATAGGTGAAAAAGGGTTTACAGGTCTCAGTAGATGCAAAAGAGTTTACGAATCTCGTCAACAAAAATACATCTAAATGAAGTCGTCAAAGAAACAGAAAACGTAGGACGTTTCCATTGGGAGACTCAGAAGGTTTTGTGGACATATAGCGTAATATGAATCACTAGGTTTTAACAGGCTAGCCGTCATTACGATCATGACACTCTCACACACACACAGATAAATTAAATAAATGAGGCAAGTTAATTAATAAATGAGTAGATAAGAGAAGAACAAGACTAAAATATACGTACATAATCTTAGTCAGTATATAGAGCTGTTATGTCAGCATATAGAGTGGTTATGTCGGCATACAGAATGGTTATGTCAGCATATAGAGCGGTTATGTCCGCATATAGAACGGTTATATCAGCAGACAGAGCGGTTATGTCAGCAGATAGAGCGTTTATGTCAGCAGACGGAGTGGTTATGTCAGCATATAGAGCGGTTATGTCAGCAGACAGAGCGGTTGTCAGTATATAGAAGAATAAGAAAAATCAAGTCTGTATGTACTCTAAGACAAACCTGATAGTGTTATAGCCTCAAGATTTAATTTGTATCCAACCATCTCCCCGTTTATGTATTTCCTATTGATTTCATTCAACCGGTTCATTTTTTATGTAGTTAATGCTAAATATATATAGGTATGTATACATAGATTTTTTTTTTTATATAAATATTTCTTTCCCTCCTCCTCTCACTTTCTCTGTAGTCGTTTGGCGCCATTTACCCTCTATAAACTGGGTCCTCAACTCTGTAGGTGATGACAAGGAAATTATGGTTCGGGGATTTTATTTTTTCTTTAGGGGAGAAACTCTGTGACGGTGGGGGAAAAGGGATATCCAAAGATTGAATTTCTCATTCTCTTTCTCTCTCTTTCTCTCTCTCGTTTCCTTTTGTTGGTTCGAAATTAGATCGGTCGGACTCTCTACTCCGGGAATTTTATGCGGCAGTATTTGATGTGTAAAATATTACGGACTTGTAATTTTTGTTAGCTAGAGGTATATGAAGTAGGTTTTAACTGGCTAGGGAATGACCCTCAGGAGATGGAACACACACGCGCCAGGCTTCAGGATTTTCTCATTCATTTCTCCTGTGTGTGTATCTTGTTGTTGTCTTTAACTTAACCAACTTGATAAATTAACTCAATGAGGATGTAAACTTGGTGTTGTTATCTCGGGGGAAAATACCCGGTATAAAATAATTCCTAATATCTGCAAACCTATTATCTTACCTGGTAATATAACATAAATCACAATAAACAAGAAAATAAAAATAAATAAGGAGCTTTTAGTCGACTCTCTCACTCCGTCCAATACGTCCGTTCGTCTGTCCTACCAAAAAGGTCAAGGTCACCATAAGGTCATTCAACTTTGGACTTACTTCCTAGCCCCCATTAGTCCCTGTTCGCCTAGCAGTAAAGTAGGTACCTGGTGTAAGTCGAAAGTTGCGAATTCGTATTCAGGAGTTGTTGGAGCTT